AGCAATGAGTCCTTGGTCCTGAGCCGCTTCACTAGGATGTGTTTGGCGACATGTATGCGCATACAATGCTTGATGGGAACCATGATAGTACATGGTGCACTTTTCAGCTGGCATCCTCTTAACGGATGCCCGCGGGTTTACTCTTATTGGCCTATCCACTCACGTGTGACCCCCACATGATTTTTCGGAGTTATAGATGGACCATATAAATATACATAATTTCTAACTACAGCCAAGTCATGTGCTGATGCAGCCGATCGGTGACTGATGTGACACCTGTGTCGGCTGTCGGCGATATCGTCAATGCAGGCAGCGACGGCGGAACTACTTGGCTAAATGGGCTCAAATTTACTAGTGTACCTTACATACGATCGGACATTCGATTTCACCAGTTTGAACCATGAAATTCCCTCATCTCAAGATACGGATTTTTGTCGCGTCACGCGGGAAAAAGTGCGATCTTATCTAGACCCACCCCCCCACCCACCAGCCCCCACGTCCGGCGCTTAGTTTCTGGGGGCCCCGTGGGCCATACCAAGAGTCGAACTTGGGTTACGGGAAGTCAAAGGCTAATCAAAATCCCGTGTGCTAAACCACTACACTATATGGCCTTGAATGGGATACACAAATATCGCTTAAACCGGCAGCGTGGCCCTTTCAAATCTCTAGTAAATCGAGTTTCACTTTACAATTGCAAGTTAGCGGATCACGTAGTGGTGTTGTTCAGATACCAGCCACCGTCGGATAATTATAATTAACGAGTGCATCCAGATACTCTGTTGCCGATCTCCAGGGGAGTAGTCGTGAAACTGATAGTTGATAATCAAATTGAGCACCACGATGGTAAGACTCGGGACGGATAGTTACCAACAAACCATCAAGTTATTCCGGATATGACCTTCTGTGATGGAAATTATCGCGTCTCATCTATCAATGCCTCGCGACTTCCCGAGACCGTTTCCTTTGCTTCTGCTGAAAGTCCTTCCACGACAATCCAGCTCGCGGTAACGACGGGGCCTGCGGCTCTTGAATGCGCATACATTCAATGCTTTGGGCCCGATTCCCCGGGGCTGGCCATGGCCAACAATGTGCCCCGAGGTGGAAAGGGCATGGACTTGGTCACGTCATACCCGGGCGCGGATACCAGACAAATAACCTAATCCGTGAGCTTGTTGATTTGGGTCACCAACGGTGCGTCGTATATTCATCTATGCACACCGTTTAATGCCTTGAAACTGACTCGTACCCGCTTGCTCGCGCTAGGTGCGTCTCTCCATTCACCTCGACCTGCTATTCTCCCATGCCTGCAGCCGCTGTCAGTACTGAACTATACAATACCTCGAGCAGAACTAACAGTTGGTTGGTCTTTGTGGTTTGCTCTCGCTGCGCACCCGCAGCTTCCTTCCATCCCCGCGTCTCCACGAATCATTTTGACTCGCATTCATTCACGTTCGCAATTGCCCTTGCTTGCGTGGTTCTCTTCTACTCGTGATCTTTCTTGCTCACCTTTAAGTAAGAGACCCCACTAGCACCAATTTGCTAGCCATTCAGTTAGTGAAGTACGTTTCCCCTTTCATATAATACCTGCCTAACCAGTGATCAGGAGCGCAACGAACAAGTTGAAGTGAATACTGTCTCCGGAGACCCTGAAACAAGCGCTGCCTCTCGGCCGCCAAACTAGAGATAGGGAGGAGCTATCCATATTCATCTTGTATCTACATGTTTGTATTCAGGCGGCTTTGTGTGCCCTAGACACTCTTGCCGTACCACCATCTAGCCTGGTAACATTCTGTCAACGTACTACCAAAACACCCAGTACCAAGGATCCCTAGCAAATATTTAATGGTACTCCACTAGCCGCTTGACGGTTCGAAATAACTCATATATTATCTGTAGGCGAAGAAACCAAAGGGAAAGAAACCGCAAGAAAAGTCCCAAGTTGCCACTGAGGGGGATGCTGATATGCAAACCGCGACCGGTCCTGGTGAAGATAGTGAGTTCTACATTATATTCTCGCCTAACCAAGCTGAATCGCTTCATACTAGGCACTAAACCACCAGCTGGTAACAAGGGTATGTCCAATTGTCCTAATAAAATACGTTACTGATGGCAATACAGGGAAAGGAAAGGCTACGACCAAGCCAGCACGTCCTATTCGATTGGGCAAGGACGCCTTTCGTGCTCAGCTTGACATGGCTAAAAAAGGATTAGTAGCGGAGGATCTGGCTAAAAAGAAAGGGAATAAGATGTTTAATGATACGAAGCGTGCGGCCGAAGCCGAGCAAACTGTAGAAGAAGCTTGAATGTGATACGTATATTGAACTACTTAAAGTCGTACACTAGGAGTCAAATGCAGAATAATTGCCCATCATTCACTCATCATCAACTTGCCCCATAAAATGCAGGTTTCGGAGCATAAGGTCGAGGTGTGGCTCGGCCTCTTCAATCATCTAAAGGACGTTTCAGTTCAAGCTTGGTCTAAAATCCCGGTGGTCGCACCTCATACTCCTCCCCCAACTCGCGTAGGTCCTCTTCTGTTAGATCCCGGAGGTATTTGAGGTATAATTGACGATGGGCTTCCCGGTTACGAGCATTCCCCCCTTCCTGTACATACTTTGATTGCTTCTTATACCTCTTTTCGTGAACCTTTTCGTGCTCAGCCCTCATCATCTTGAACGCATTGCTGTCCGCACAGTCATCCGACAAGCAATGATCATAAGTATCCTCGATGGAATCGAATCTACTTCCGGTTAGTAAAATGTATGAGAAAGTATGGAGGACGTACTTCTGCTCTGCACCGCAAACACCGGGGCACTTGAACCGGTCCCCACATTTCATTTTCAACACTAGCTGGGCCCACTCGGTGTGCTGTTGCCACCTGTACAAATTTAATATTATGCCTGAAACGAACAAGGCATTAGCTTACATGTGTTCCTTCAGTTTTGAAAGGGTTGAAAATTTATGGAGCTCATCCGCCGGCGTGCCAAATTCACGACAGTTTTGGCAAAGGATGTCCCCACCATCCGCCTGAAAATAGAACATGTTAAATACGCGCATTTCAGACAGTTCTGAAACCCACCTTAATTTGTGCCAGAGCCTCTCGTTGGAACAGAATGGGATCAAGAGCCAAAGTGGCCAAGCCAACACGCACATCAAATGCCGATGCAATTGTGATGCGTTCCTCCTCATCTTGGTCCTTCCATTCCTCCACTGGTAGATCGCTCCCTTGTACTGGCCCTTCCACCAACTCTTCCACCTCCTGGTTGTATGCCTTTCCTGCTAGATTGTTTTGCTTTCCCAGGCTCAACTCCTTATAACTGGCGAGCACTGCTTCTTCATCTTCCTCTTCATCTCGGCTCAGCTCGGCAATCACACTCTCGGGGTCGGTATGTGCCGTTTGCGACCTTGGGACGGCTGTTTCGGATGTAGATGTGTGTATAGTGGCCTTGGAGCTGGAGGCAGAGGGAGTAGGTTGCGTCGGCTTGGATGCGGATGTGGATGCCTTGGACTGGGAGGTCGATGTGCTTGCTTTGGAACCGGATGGGCCAGGCTCGGAGGTAGCCGGCTGTGCTGGGTTGGAGGTCTAGTTCGGGGGTCAGAGACAGCTATTAAGAATAGGAGAATAGAGTACTTTTGAGGCCGCAAGAATCAACTCGGATGTTCCACCTACAAACGCTAGAGCAGCATCCTTGTCCTGGATAGTCGGGCGGTACACGTTTGCTTTCACCTTCTCGTCGAGCTTCTTTTCTGCCTGGATCTTTCCTCGCTTGTTCACTTGCTGCAAATGGTATCTATACTTTGTATTTGCATCTCGCAAGGCTTTCTCGGCCTATAAAAGAAATAAGGATTCAATAAATTAGGGCTCAACTCGGGCTTACTGCCGTGACACGCTCCAAGAACCCGGGTTCTTTCGCCGCCTCTTTATACAACTCGTGGCTGGTAATGTTGTTAAGAATTCCAATTTGCGTCTTTTTATAGCCGTTGACCACTTCATAAAGGCGAGTTCCTCGACCCAACTGGTTCTGGTAGTGGGTCCATCCCCCAGTGAGATCGGCCTTGAGCTGTTGCAATTTATCATCCTCCTACAAGGCAAACTGTGAATATTGGATAATAATAATAAAGAATGACGTACATCACGAAATTTCTCCTGGAAATCGGCGATGAACTTTTTGTTGGCTGTCCCGACATTCTTGAAGGCCTTGCTAATACCAGCTGCCGCTTTATCCTCCTCTGCCTCTGCTTCTACCTCGGCATCAGAGGCAGAGTCAGACTCATCATCCGAATCCTCGGTCAACTTGGAATTCGATTGTGCGATCACCTTTGAGATTGTGGTGACAGCAGTGCCCACTCGCACACGCATCTGCAAGGCACTCTGAGAGGAGAATTATTCAGAAATGATCAAAAACTGGACAGTCCACCCTACCTCGGCCCCAGGTCGGTACTGGTCTGTTGCCTCGCCGACTCGAATTCCCAGTAAATCATGGTTTCCCGCCCCATGACTGTAGTGTTTTGTAAGAACCGACTCGGCATCCTTGTGACCCATAGCTAAGCTTGTTTCCTGCCGACCTATCATGATTGACATCTGAATAGGGGTTAGCTTGGTCCTTGTCCGACCACAGCACTTACTTCGTTTGCAAACCCACGGCGGTAGGAATATGCGGTTACCCCCTTCAGGCCAGACGCAGTCCCAGCTGCTGACATGGCACCACTAAGTCCATGGGCTGTCCAGGCTTCATCCAGCAGCATTCCGCCGCCTCGCTTGGGTTTCAGAAGGCTGATGGTGTAGTTGGCACCCAATAGTAGGATTACTCATTTATGCACTTACAAAGGTGCGTCCGGGTTCGCAATAACAAGTTGGTCTTCTTTAGCTGTAATTAAGTCGATGAAATTCTGGATAGTATTCGAGTTAGTTTTGGTTGGAGGCTAGCATAGGGAGGCTCACAGGATATTGCGGCAAACTCCCCCTGGCCCAGATGTAACTGACAATCCAGAATGTGTCGAACATTATGTTGTGGGCCTTGGTGAGCCCTCTAAGCCAGTAGCTGGCGGATTTCCCCACGATAGAGGCGTTATGGCCCTGAACAGATATCAGACGTGTTCATATGAAAGTTCAGTGTGCGTACCTTCCAGTTGTCTGTCGTCATTTGAATGTCGGTCGTAAACGAGCCTCGGTTCCAGAGCTCAAAGTCGCCCATCTTCATGAACTTCCCTGCAAGCCGGTCTTCCTCATGTCCGGCACAGAGAGAGCTTGGTCGCATTCCAGTAGCCAGGCAGATAATAATGACCGAGATGAGCTGAAGTTTGACAATCCGGCCCTTGTTTACCGATGATTTCATCAAGTGCTCGATCATCAGCCGAGCCTCCGGTAAGCCACAGACTTTTTTGTTTCGGGAGGTGTGTCTATCTAACTTGAGGGTATCGATTGCTGGGGAGGGTGAGTGTCGGTGGATGCTTATGATAAAAAAACTTACAATTTTTGACACGGGCCAATAGCTCGTCCACAAATCGCTCCTTGTACAGTAATTGGGGTCCCAACTTGTAACCGGTCAAGGGATCATATGTGTATCGGGCGATGCAAACAACAAGGCAGTTGTGCCAGCCTGCAACGGTT